AATGCTTCCTCTCATTGAGAGAGCTATTGTCAGTTCCATGGTATGGTGAAAAGACAGGAAGAAAGACAAGGACTAATGCCAGTTGGAAAATCAGTAGTTTGCTCAGCTTGATTGATTCTTTGCTTTGCTTCACTACTTCACAAGATAAACAGAATCACTGCACTTACCCTGATCAAATGATAGGTTCAGGCTAAAACAGAAAATAATATATATGTTTTTTGCTCATATTTCCATGGAGAATTTGAAAAAAAACTTAACCTTTAAGATTCCAAACATCCAAACATCCAAAAATTACCCATTACTTTGATATGATATGAATAGGTCATACACGCAGCATGCAGCCTTCACATGTAGTGAACAATTGAGAATGTTCCAATATCTAAGTTAAATGCAATAGATGGACACGTTCTGTTCTATATCATGCTTCATTTGCATGTTGCCACTAAGAACAGCTCTTTCAGTAAGTGATGGGAAGCCTTCACTTGAATAAAGGCAAATATTATGTTCCGTGAAGCTTTGGTGGGTAAGAGGCAGCTGGAAACGTGTTGTCCCTGAAGTGACTGAAAAGTGACTGAAAAGTCACTTCAGCCAAACGGCAGAGGAATCTGTTCATTAACACCCTTAGGGTGCCTGAATATTGCTCAAGTATTACCACTGAGGAAGAATGGTTGTATCTCAGTGCCAGAATCAACTGGCTAGTCATTCATGCAAGTATGCAGATTTGTCCTTCCCCATCCTGTTTTCGGAGGAGGCAAGAGCACCCAGCTCTCTGCTAGGCTACACAAAGGTAAGGGTGATAGCTGGTATTCACAGTGGAATGCCATTTCCGTCTAGTGAAGCAACTAAGTTATTGCTGAGCTACTGGCAGTCTAAGAACTCTTGGTTTACATAGCTGAAAAATGTTTTGCTGGTAACAACACCCCCTCCATTATTTGTTGTGGCTTTACTACATTCTAAAAGCTTCAATTAAGCTATAACCATTAACAGTACCTGCCAAAAATGGAAACTCATTTTAGAGTTATTTTACAGCTAGCCTGTTCTTTTGACGTGCAGTTTGAAAATACATCTAGTAGAAGAAATGGTTGTTTACAGGAAGGAAGTCTTTATTTTTGTGAGGAAAAAGAATTGAAGAAAAGGATCTCATGTTAGTATTTGCATTTTAACTCAAAAACATTTTTCCATCAGGAAGGTTTTTTAACCTTAGGCTAAAATTCTGAAAGAATACATAGGAAGTTTTTTTTTTTTTCCAAATAAGCTTTTTAATTTGCGTTTACAACAAACTACCATTCTGATTATCCAGCAGAGCAGATATGATACAGATTATACAGTACAGCTAAGACATACTACAAAATTATCACACATACACAATATCTCCTAACAGATTTGACAGAGAAACTCTATTCTAAAAATATTATGTACTAAAAGCTACTATTATCCCCTCAGGAAGCTGCACAGACTGCAAATGTCTGTTAATGCTGTTTTATTGTTGATTTCTTTTTAACACAAATTTATTTGTAAGTAAATTCTGCAAGATCAGAAGACAGCAGACAGTAACTGTACAATTAAGCATCTGAGCCTAGAGTACAGAAGCCAATAAAACCTTTTTTTAAGTGGCCTATCAAAAGCAAGCACTGGATATTGAACTGCCCACTAGCTTGTAACTACGTTAAACAAGGCCACTGTATTTATTTCTTGGCTGTCTGAATTCACTTGGCTGTAAGAAGTAGGTGGCATTTGCATAGAACTTGCAGTCCTCAAGTACAAGACTCTCAAACTGATCTAGGTAAGAGAGGAAGCACTGTTTTTTTGCATCTTTTTAAACGAGTATTTTCATTACAGTTTCTAGCGTTTAGTATTCCATAAACTTTAATTATATGCTCTTAAGTAATCTTCTTGGTGTTATAACTTCTCTCTTTTCTCTCACCTTTGCATTCTAATGAAGGTTAGATCTAGCCTTGCTATCTAGGAATGTCTTGCCTACCATAACCTCTCAATACAGTAGAGTCAAAACTAAATTTGACAGTACAACTAGAAACTGACATAGATCTTTCTAAATAATTACACTTGAACTGTAATTTCTTTTCTTTTGTGATGGAAAGAAGCTGTAACTTCTTGTTACACAGATGTACACAGTCTACAAATGTACACAGTCGGAGTCAAAGATTACTTAACGTATCTGGGATGGATATAAATCTAGTAATATTTAAAAATATACTTAAACTACTAAATGCAGGTTATTTTCAGTTTGGACAACCACTTCACACATCTCCAACGATAATCTATTTTTTTGCCTTTTGCCATACTATGAACTACATACTTTAAACATTTAAGCACCCTGTTTCGAGAGGTATTAAACTCTGGATGGCCATAGCACTTACATTGTGTGATTCAAAACAATACCTTGAATATTTTTTTTTAAGACTTTTGCATTGGCTTCATGCACATAGTTTATATTCGTTTTCAATTTCCTGACAAAAGTATCTGTTAGAAGCTGGAAAAGGTTCTTAAGCAGGACATACACCTTAAACAGGACAGACATAAAACACTTCATAATGAGCCACCCTCTATTATGGGTGCCTGCATTTAAAAAGCTTACAGGCTTGGCAATGTATGCATTTGTCTATCAATCATAATCAATCATACTTCCAGATGTTACACAGCAGTTATTAGTACTACACAAAATCTCTAAGAGTCATCGGTGGTTTGTGCACAATTTTTTGCCTGAGACTAAATTGCTGCACTCCAAGGAACTCTGTTTTAGCCAGTTCTACTAGCAAAAACCATCCACTGTGTGCTGAGGACATCTGCAGTGACAGATCACTGTAACACACACGAATTCCACATCAGTTACTAGAAATACACTATTAGAAAGACCACACCCTTCCCCACTACTATGAGCTTATTTTACACCATCAACTGCTGCCTCTTACGACAGAGACCTCTATGACAGAGACTTCCATGATGCAGCATCTGGAAGAGCTGATGGAATTATTTGTCATACAAAGAGATGACTATTTTAACTCAGTTTTTTTTCTTAGTAAAACTGGATTCAATCAGAGGCATATTTAAGGTATTGTACAAAAGGACCAATTTGAAGATTTGTTTCTTAGTGTTATGTGCCCAGCCACCAGAGCCCTGTGTTGGGATAATGTTTCCTTAGAAGCTTTTTTTAAGGAGGACAAACTATTATTATTATAATACATCTGTGCTAAAAAAACATTCACTAGCTCCAATCTAAGAGGCATTTTCTTCACATTGCAGGAAAAAATACATGAAGTAAACACTAAGACAATGGAAAGACCGCATGAGGCTACGAAGATGGAAAACAACACTTCTTCCTGCTTTTTCATGGAAAGAAAGACTCGTGTGAAGGCTAATACAAAAGAGATTGTGCTAGCCAAGCTGAGGAAGAGCTTCTCCTGCACACCAAGGAAAGCGAAGAACTTTGTAATGGACTTCTTTCCTGTTTTACGATGGCTTCCCAAGTACCAGTGCAAAGAGTACATTTGGGGTGATGTTATGTCTGGGTTAGTGATTGGGATCATTCTGGTGCCCCAAGCAATCGCATACTCACTACTGGCAGGCCTGAAGCCCATTTACAGTCTTTACACATCTTTCTTTGCCAACATCATCTACTTCTTAATGGGCACATCTCGTCACGTCTCAGTTGGCATTTTCAGCTTGATAAGTTTAATGGTGGGACAAGTTGTGGACCGAGAACTTCTCTTAGCTGGGTTTGACTTGAATGATGATGCCACACCAGCCTTGGGTCATGGCTCCCTGCAGACTGACATCCAGTCCAACACTACTGTCTTCAACTTTACCACTGAGGGGATGAATGCTGAATGTGGAAAAGAATGCTATGCCATTGGCATTGCTACAGCCCTGACATTTGTGGCTGGAGTGTATCAGGTAAGTAGTTGCTGATATTTAGAGACAAAGTATGAAATTCCTAAAGCTTTCTTGCATAACCTAAATTCTGTTTTGACTGTCCTTCCATGAGAGACATCATGAATCAATCAGCATCATTTCACTTGAATGATCTTGGACTGTTTTCTCCAGGAAGCCTAACTCTGCAGGCAATTCAGAGAAAACATGATGTAGGCATCTTTATCAGCTTCAAGCAAGCACAAGTAAAACAACAATCTTTTGCAAGACTAGTAACACTGCTTTAACACTACTAGCTCTTAGTCTTGCTGATTTCATGGGACTGTGAATCAAATACAAATCTCATCATGCGGGAAATTCTGAAGTACCTATGTACTTCAACAATAAAACAATGATTCTGTGATTCTAAATAATGTTGTCTCCCTAGATATTTTAATAAAGTTGCAGGCTCATTCACCTACTTCTACACTAGCTCAGAACATACTGCTCAATGTTTCCCTACCAGGTGCTATGTTATACCAAAGCACTGTCCAGTGATAAGTCAGAAAGGAGAGAAAGAAGAAAGGAAATGAGGAAGTAGACTAAACTAACTTTCAGACAGTGGTTTCATTGGACTATTGGACACTCACCAATCTGCTGCCCATCATAAGGATATCAAGAGAACAAATAAGGAAGCACCATGAATATACCTCTGAATTGTCTGCATAAGAATTAAGAGGGAAGACCTTCCCTCTACTAAGAACTTTCAGATCACGTACATGAACAATAAAATAGGAAATTTTCCAAAGCTATCAAAAGAAGCAGCAGTAACTAGTTAGGACAGTATCCTCAGATGTGTGAAAGTTTGTGGTCTCTTCTGCCACTGTTCATTGTAGGCATGCCATAAAGGCCTCGTTCCACTTTCCCTTCTGTTCACAAGGCTGACATGCTTAATGTAACCATGTCACCAGAGAACTTAGGGTTAGGGTTGTCACTGTTGTCACTCAAATTCTCTTTACAAAGCAGTGTCTACAAGTTGTAACTGTAGTCACCTTTAGCCAGAAAATATATATATATATATATATATATATATATATATAAAAAACAGCACTTTTTGATCCACTGCTCTTAGACTTAGGAAATAAAATTCAGACAAGCCACTTCACAACTCCAGAACAATGCTGGAGTTAGGAAGTTCAATTTGATTATTTTTCAAACTTCTAACTCATTCCTTGGTTTTGCAGTATCCCATAACAGTATCAGGAATCATGTTTTAAATGCAGATTGGAAGCACTAAAGGATAACTCCTACTTTAATATTCAACTAGCCAAATGCTATCTGCCTCCAGCTATTTCTCTCTCATCTGTACTTACTTGTACTTACTTGCAGCATCATAGTGTCATTTAAGGCTTATCTTTTCTTTTCTTTTTTTTTTTTTTTTTGTGTCTCCCCAGGTTCTAATGGGAGTCTTTCGTCTGGGTTTTGTATCTATGTACCTGTCTGAATCAGTACTAGATGGCTTTGCAACTGGCGCTTCCTTAACAATTTTAACAGCTCAAGTGAAGTATTTGATTGGAATAAAAATCCCACGTAGCCAAGGGCACGGGATGCTTGTTATTACTTGGATTAACATTTTCAGGAACATTTCTCAGGCTAACATTTGTGATATCATTACAAGTGCCATTTGTATTGTTGTGCTGGTTACTGCTAAGGAACTGGGAGATCGTTACAAGCATAAGCTGAAATTCCCTCTTCCCACAGAGCTGGTAGTTATTGTTGTGGCGACACTAGTGTCACATTATGGAAACTTAAATGAAGTGTATTCATCCAGTGTCTCTGGAGCTATTCCAACAGGATTTATTGCCCCCAAGGTACCACGTTTTGACTTAATGATCCGTGTCGCTATAGATGCCTTACCTCTTGCAGTAGTCAGCTTTGTCTTCACTGTTTCCCTTTCTGAAATGTGTGCAAAGAAATACGCTTACACTATCCGAGCCAATCAGGAAATGTTTGCTGTAGGGTTCTGCAACATCATTCCCTCTTTCTTCCACTCTTTTGCAACAAGTGCAGCTCTGGCAAAAACACTTGTGAAAACATCTACAGGCTGCCAGACTCAAGTCTCTGGAGTGATTAGTGCAATGGTGGTTCTGCTGGTACTACTCTTCTTGGCACCTCTCTTCTACTCCTTGCAGAAGTGCGTCCTGGCTTGTATCATCATTGTCAGCCTTCGAGGAGCTCTAAGAAAGTTCCGGGATGTGCCAGCACGGTACCATGTGAATAAGGTGGACACAGTGGTTTGGGTCGTTACTATGTCTGCCTCTGCCTTGATCAGCACAGAAATAGGGCTATTAGTTGGCATTGTTTTCTCCATGTTATGCATCATTGTTCGGACACAGCAGCCACGGACAGCCCTACTTGGTCAAATCCAAGATACCAACTTTTATGAGGATGACTTAGAATATGAAAATCTCACTTTGGTTCCAAAGGTCAAAATATTCCGTTTTGAGGCACCACTTTATTATGCCAATAGAAACTATTTCCTAAAGTCTCTGTACAGACTGACTGACCTAGATCCTAACTTAGAAGCTGCCAGAAGGAAGAAATATGAGAAGAAGGAAAAGCAGCATCTGAAAAAAGAAAATCAACCAACTGTTAATGGACTGGGCAGCAGAGACACCACTCTGCAACTAGTCCCTAAGCAAATTGACTTCCAAGCCCTTGTAGTAGATTGCTCTTCCATCCCATTTTTGGACACCACTGGAGTCAATACTCTAAAGGAAATTCTAAAAGACTACAAGGAGTTAAATATTTCTGTTCTCTTAGCTTGCTGTAATCCCTCAGTGATAGACTCTCTGAAAAGAGGAGGTTACTTTGGGAAAGATTTTGGAAGTATGCAAGAAATGCTGTTCTACAGTATACACAATGCTGTGCGGTTTGCAAAAGACCAAAAGCTTACAGCAGACTGCTCTGTTTAATCCCATGTTTTCCTTGACAATACGCTAAAGAAAGTGACAGATGGAGAAGGGCAGTTTGCAATAATTAAGTTATCAGATACACTGTTGGTTTTGTACAGTAATGGGCCTACAAAACATTGTTCCCTGAAGAGTTCTGCAATTTATTGGATGCCGCTTAGAATAGCCCCTGGGGATGCAGTCCGGGGCCAGGCTGGGACAAGCTGGATAATTATCTGCACCTCAATTTCAGAATGTGGGTGAAAAAGAAGTGCATCTTGGGGCAGTTTTCCTCCTTCTGCCATTATAATACATGCCCAAATATATGTGTCATGGGACAGCTGTGGCTGGAAGTCTGTCAAGAGCCATCTGCCTCTCCCAGTTGTTTGTGTTATGAAGGATGAGCCATATATCCAAACACAATGGATCTCTGATCATGGACACATAATGGTTTAAACTCTGGCTTGCAAAGCCCTGTCCATTCCATCATTCAAGACATGCACTTTAGCAACTCCCAGGACTTGCAAACAAGTAAAATGTATAAAGTACTGTGGGATGTGTTACGCCTCTCCTCGTCACCTTGATTGCATGGGCCTAATGACACAACTTGCCACAAGTGAAGAAACCACAGGCTATCACCATTTCTCTCAAAACCATCTTCTCAAGATAACTTCCTGGAGTCACTTGTGATATTGGAACCACCATATGTTAATTAGTTACTGAAGGTTTCAATACCTCTAGTAACACAGGAAGAAACATGACCCCGATGCACAATTTTCTTGTGTCTAAGGAGAAAAGATATATGAGATTAAGAGAACAGAATGGCTTTTCTGGCAATCATATAGTTACCTGAGTAGTTATATCACCCTGTCAAAATTACCTCTGTTGATGCAACTCTAATCAAGGGACACACAAGGATCACTAAATAGAAACCCCAAGACTGCAATGCAGCACATCGTGCCCTTCCTACAGCAGCCTGCAAAAGTAAAAGGGTAAGTGAAGAAAGCAGGAGAAAAGAGGATAGAATGAGAAGTTAATCTGTGATCTACCATGTAGGGGAATGGTTAGTCAGTCAAAAATGCCAGACTGATACTCTCTGATGCACTTCTAACGAAGTATATATAGTCCACAGCAGTATAACTAATCCAAGTAGAGCAATGCTTTATAAGTTGTGTATCCCCAAACACTAGAAAAATCTCACCACACTCCAGACCATTCTACATACTACTGACTTTTTTTTTCCCCACCAAGTAATTCTTTGTTATACATCTAATAACCCATGTTTTATAGGTCTGTGTTAATTTTCATGACAATTTGCATTGAGTTATTTATTCTGTATGGTGTCAAATGATACCCTCAGAGTCAGTTTTGTTGCTTTATATGTATGCTCTCTCTATACAAATAAGCATACATCTAGATTTTGATTCTAGTTGTACTGATTTTAGTACTGTCGGTACTTAGTGTTCTAGCATATGGCATTGACAGAAAACTCTTACAGTGAAGTCTAAAATTACCCGCATCAAAGGGAGGACAGCTGTCCTACCTTTCTCTTCTTATTCATGCCTAGTTCACATGTGGAACCAAGCATAGAAGGAAACTGTCACAGTTGTGCTTTGTACACTTAGCAGACACCAGAAATAGATTACATGTATGCTGAAACTATTTCCTAGATATACCATTAAAACAAATGCCACACCGACAAATTGAAATTTTTTCAATTTTCAGGTCACTGAATGGAAAAACAATCAAACTGAGGTTCTCCAGTTGCCCCAGAGCCTGTTTGGTTCTCAAGAGCACATATTTCATTTAAAAAAAAACAAAAAAAACCATGCATTCCCAAAAGACAAAATAAGAAGTGTCTTAATAGGGATTGAGAGTAGCACAGTATTAGCTAAGTGACTCAATGCTGACATTCTCATGTATTCATTACAGAAAAGTCTATCAACTGTACACTGCTAGCACTGCCAGAGCAGTAAGCCTGACAGAAATGCCTGTCTAGATATTACAAGATTGACCACTGGCAGCCAATTCCTGCCATAAAACAATTAAATAATATAATTCTTTAAAGTGCTGACTTGGTACGACTGGCTTATTTTTGTCATAAAAACAAATGGACAAAGTCCAAGGACAAAGTGTTGTGTTTATTTTTGTTTGTAACCATTCTTTGATCTGGGAGTATCTCTTTTAATGTTTCGCCAGGAAGTCACAAGAGGAAGTGGGTTCACAAGAATTAGAGCTAGACAATTAGTAACAATACAGACAATTTTAGGCTGCTGTGACCAAGTAAGCTGCTGTTGGAAGTCAACTTAAATTTTTTCAATAGAAAAGAAAAGCATTTCCTAGCAATCTACATTTCATTTATCTTCATGAATCAAGTCACCAACCTAGAACATAAAAGGGAAAAAAATATAAATTCCTTTGACTCTTGATGAAAAGAAAAAAAAAAAAAAGAAAGAAAAACAACTATCCCCATGGAAAGTGTATGCTTGCAGCAACCTTTGGGGAAAAATAAGCAGAAGTTGCCCATGCAGTTCTTTTTTACCCATCAGACTGAGAAAATAAGTTGGAAGCCTATTTTTCATCATATTTTTGTAGGAATGTCACCAAAGGAGAGCAGAGAAACTCTTCTATGCACAAGAAGGGGCTTGAGCTTTTACTAGAAGGAAACCATCCAGCAGAAGAAAGTTTAAGAACCATTACCTGTTTCATTGACAGATCTGACTCACAATCAAGTTGAGTTGGACAGCAAAAAACACAGCAGGGAAATGGCCTTCAGTGTGATGATGTAGGGAGACCACGAATTACTTCAGAGTACACAAAATGTAACTTAAAAAAAAGTAAGCCCTTTTCCATCAGGTTAATGTTCCATCAGGTTAATGTCTGCATCAAGACTAAGCATATGACTGAAAATGTTACAAACTGCCAATTCTCTTCTCTCCTACTGTACCATGAACTATGTACTGTGACTTGGGAGAGGAGCTGGGGATATTATTGTAATTCCAACTAGGTTAATACTAATTTTGAAATAAAATTGTTATATGACTATTAGAAAATGTTATATCTATCATGTATATTGACAATATTTTTGTTCACTATGGTGCCTTGCACAGATCATGTATCCAACAAACTTTAGTACAGCTACATAACAATAGGAACAGGACCTCATCTTGAGGACTGTGTGATTCCCATGGAGCTGGGCACAGAGTTGAGAGTATGTACTTCCAACTCTTCTCTTGATTACTGGCAGATAGCCAGAATACATGGTCTAGGTTCCAGAAATAGCTACATTTATTGGAACTGCCAAATGAAATCCTGGGAACTGTCCAGTCCATGAAAGAAACTATGAGTTCCTGTGTAATCATGAATCCTATGTCTCATGACGTGGATATAAATGTGTGTTTTTGGCTGAAAAATAAAAATAACAGTTCTTTAAGCTTGCCTCTTGGTATACTTTCATGGGTGGTAAAATAAAAGGGTAATGTGGAATAAAGGACAAAAGGTAGGTCTGGTGTCCTAGAAAAGAGTTAAAACATAGGGGTGCATTTGGAATTGAGGCAACTATTATTAGAACACACAATGAGGAAGAGCACTCTAGAAGACTGACAGTTTTTCCACTTCTACATAGACGCATTTGTTTTTGGGTGGAATATTTATATCACCTTTTTACACATAGCACAACTGGAAAGAAAAGCAACATGTTACTGCTGGCCATCCTCAGTGGTGAAACCTCCCAACACACTGTCTTCTGTAGGTAGATCACATCCTTTCTATTCACCAGTCTCACAATATAAGCCAGCTTTGCTGTTACAGGGATCTTGTTCAGATCCTCTCTATGTTGTTCTGGTAATCACTGGTTTAGAAAAAGAATTGCAAATGCACAGAAGTAAGCATCAGCACGGAACTTCTCCTGTTCTGATTTGCGACCTTAAACCTATTCCTTCTTCCAAGCCCAATGTTCATCTGCAGGGCTCATGCTGTCTCCCTTTCTAAACATCACTGTTGCTGAATTTACTGTTTGTCTATCCAGTGTTTAAATGCCATCTTTGGAAAATGTACCTTTTTACAAATGCGATCAGATAAGCAACATCCTGAGCCAAGCTGAATTTTAAGATTACAGTTTTGGATTTTTATTTATTGATTGATTGTCTGTTTGGTTTCCTCCTACAGCAATCACTCCTGTTCTAGGGATCTTCATTTTTTATTCCACTGGGCACACTGAATCACAGAATAATAGAAAAGTTTGTGTAGGAAGCGACCTTGAAAGACCATTTAACCCAACACCCAGTCACAGAATGGGACATCTTTCACATCAGGTTGCTCACAGCCCTGTTGTTCAACCTGACTTTAAACACTTCCAGTGACGATGCATCTGCAACTTATCTGGGCAATCTGTTCCAGTGTCTCACCACTCTCATCATAAAAAATGTCTTCCCTATCACAGAATAGTTGGGTTGGAAGGAATCATCTATTTTCAACCCCTCTGCCATGGGCAGGGTATACCATCCATTAGATCAGATTGCTTGAAGTCCCATCCAACCTGGCCTTGAGCACTTCTAGGGAAAGGGTATCCGAAACTTCTCTGGGCAACTTGTAGTAGTATTCTACCACTCTAATATTTGAGATTTTTTTCCAGTAACCAACCTAAATTGATGCTCTTTTTACTTAACTTACTCCTTGTCCTATCACTACATTCCCTGCTAATAAGTCCCCCTCCCTCTTTCCTGTATGAAGCCTTCAAGTACTCTAAGATGTTATGAAGTCTCCCCTGAGCCTTCTCTAGGCTAATCAACCCCAGCTCTTTCAGACTCTGCTGAAAGGAGAAGCGCTGCAGTCCTCTGATTATCTCCATGGTCCTCCTCAGGACTCACTCTAAAGGGTCCATATATCTCTTGCACTGGAGGTCCCAAAAACTGGCTGTGGTACTCCAGGTGAGTCCACAGAATAGCAGAATAAATGGAAATAATTACCCCCATAAGTCTGCTGGCCATGTTTCTTTTGATGAAGATCATGATCACAGAATCACAGAATTGCAGGGGTTGGAAGGGACCTCCAGAGATCATTGGGTCCACACACCCTGCAAAGCAGGTTTCCTACAATAGGTCACACAGGTATGCATCCAGACAGGTCTTCTTCATAGGAGGAGACTCCACAGCCTTTCTGGGCAGCCTCTTTGTCCTGTCACTAAGCCTCATCCATTTGCCTTCCACCTCACTTTGGATATTTATAATCATTAATCAGATCCCACCTCAGCCTTCTTTTCACCAGGCTGAACATATCTGAGTTGTTCAGCCTTTCCTCTTAAGGGAGATGCTCCAGGCCCGTTAGCATATTTATGGGCCTCCTCTGGACTCCTTCAAGGAAATCTCTGTCTTTTTTGAAACAAGGAGGCCAGAACTGGACACAGTATTCTAAATGTGGCCTCTCCAGGGCAGGGTAGAGGGGAAGGATCACCTCCCTTGATCTACTGACCACACGCTTTTTAATGTGTTCCAGAACACCGCTGGCCTTCTTGGTCACAAGGGCAAACTGCTGGCTCATGGCCAACCTGCTGTCCACCAGAATACTCAGGTCATTCTCCTCAGAGCTCCTCTCCAGCTCCTCCCCCTAACCTGCACTGATGCATGCAGTTATTCCTCCCCAGGTGCAAGACTCCACACTTACAGTTGACTTTCTGGGCTGTGAGCACAAAACGTTGGCCCATTATCCAATTCTCCATCCACCAATATCCCCAAGCCCTTCTCTATAGATCAGCTTGCAATCCACTCATCACCCAGTCTGTACTCACATCGGGGACTATCCAATCCAGATGCAGGATCTTGCACGTGGCCTTACTGAACTTCATAAATTCCTATATAGAACCACATCTCAAGCCTATTAAAATCCCTCTGGAGGGCATCCCTCCCTTCAGGTGCAATCAACAGCACTAGTTAGCTTGATGTCACCTGCACTCTTGCTGAGTATACACTCAATCCCACTATCTATGACAGTAACAAAGATATTAAATTGTATGGTCCTTGTATGGACCCTTGAGGGATATTACTTGCTATTGGTTTCCATTTGGACACTGAGAAATGGACTGTAACTTTTTGGACGCAGACATGCAGCCAGTTCATTATAGAAGTCCAGGTAGATGACATCAGTAGATCTTATCTATTGATCCAATCACTCCATTGTAGAATATCACCACACTAGTCAGGTGTGATTTGTTCTTAATGAAGTCATGCTGGCTGTCTCTGATCACCTCCCTGCCTTTCATGTATTTTAGCATAGCTTCCAGGAGGATCTGTGTTCCACAGTCTTACCAGGCACTGAGGTGAGGATGACTGGTCACTGGTTCCAGCATTGTCCTTATTATCTTTTTTTAGAAAGGGGTGTGCTATTTTCCCAAGTCACTGGGGACTTTTCCAGACTGCCACAACTTTTCAAATATGATAAGCAGTGTAGCAAATACATCATTCAATTCCCTCAGAACACCTCAAGGCATCTTCTTGGGCACTAGACACTCATCTATACTCACATTTATCACGTGATCTTAAACCTGATCTCTTACAATGAGAGGGATTTTGTTCTCCAAGACCCTGGCTAGGGTTTGAGGGACTTGAGTGATTAGGGAAGAATGACTGCGAGTAAAAACTGAGAAAAAAAAAAAAGGCAACTTCAGCCTTCTCTACATCAATTGTCACTAGTTCTCCTGTTTTACTTATTATAGTGGGAGGCATGCTTTCCTTAATGTTCCTTACATGTGACAGCACTCCCACCTGAAGTGTTTGGTAAGGAATGCAATGAATTTACAACTATCACCCTATTTTAGCCTGTTCCTAATCTTCCCCTAAGACATATTACTTGGAAAGAGAATGTAACACTGCAACCTGAATATTAAAACAAGACAGCCAGAGGGAGCTGTAGGTACATAAACTCCCTTTCCAAATCTGCATAACACTGTGACCTGGATATCAAAACCAGGGCTATAGCCAGGGGGAGCTGTAAGTACATATGAGTCAGCTAGACACTGAAAAAAATGAACTCTCAAAGTCTGGTTTCTCCTAGTTCTTCATTTCAGATCGAGTAGATGCAGGTGTTACTGCACTAACAACTCAGCTGGACTGAACAGCAGCAATAACTCTGTTGTAACTTGAAAACAGCTGGAATAACCACTGATTGAAATCTGGCCGAGTTCTCTCTATAATACTTGGCATATATTGCTCCAACTGCAAAGCAGAGCTCTTCCTAGTTTAAAGGAGCATTAAGGTCTCCTGAAGAACCCTGTCTTCAAGGCTCTACCAAGGAGTATTTTAAAAGGATGCATCCAATTATAAAATACTACACTATGACCTCAAAACATGTAATGAGACTCAATTCTGCTAGCGTGAGACCTCTTTGGAAGTCGTTGTACAACTGGGAATCAAGTCATTGAGCTTCAAACAGCAGCCAGAGGGGATGCAGAATGACTCCAGCATATGACTTGAGATGGTCTTGAGATGATCAGTACACCCACCGGACAAAAAGAAGCCTCAAAGTGCTCCTCAGCCTCTTGTTAGAACAAAATGCATGCAAGTTAGCCCCATCTTTCTCAAGACAATCTCTCTCTTTCCTCAACTCATATACCCCAAAACTATTCCAATCCACTGGCCATCATCAGACTTCCATGAACACAAAAACACAACCAGTCTGCAGTTAAACTGTGAGAACTGCCAAAGTGAGCAACTGCTCAGCACTTTAATGAGTCACAACTCTTTTTTTAGATTTTTGACATGAAACATTTGCTTACCTGACAGTAATCAATTCCAGTAACCAGTGAATTCGAACTTGTTCAATGCCATCATGAGGAACAGAAGAAATGTATGCAAGGTTCATCTCTTGATCTTTGCTTAGGTCAAATAGGTCAGCAGAGCTGTGAGGTAAAGGAGGGCTTTGGAAAAAGAACAAAAAAGAAGTAACATATTACAACGTTAGCAATCAGCTCCACTGGGTATTCAGAACTCCCTATGTTAAACATGTATCACCTGCAAGATCTTATCTGGCTTAAGGAACACTGTCTTAACAAGAGGTGAAAATGAAACAGGGGCTAAGGAACTGCACCTATGATGTGGCAAAGCAGAACAAAAATCAGGTGCATCTCATTGCCACACTTAAAGTATTACAAGCAGTCACTGCTCCTCAAGTAACAGCTTCAGTCAGAGGTGGCCTGAAGTAGCTATGCAATGGTGATCACTTTACTTCTGAGTAACCAATGATAAGGACAGCACAGTGACTTCTAGGCTCTGGAGCAGGAGCCAGGTTTGCCCAGGACTGTGCTAAAGCAAATACTGGGTTGATATTCCTGCTGAAGTCTATGTGCTGACACCAACCCTTGCTCTGCTGTGAAAGTTACATCTGTGAGAAGCAGAATTAAACTCTGAGTTTTTATTTCTCCATCACATCTCATCTCACCTTGAAGCATAAGAAAGTACTGGAGTATGAAGCCTGATATTTCTATGATGCTGCAAGCCTTGAGCACGTTAAATTGTATAACAACAGTCATATTAATATTAATTCAGTGTCTTACTATTCCACCAAAATTAAGGAACACTAGAGCAAATCCCTGCTGCTTCTACCTCCACAGAGAAATAACTGCAAGATGGAAAGAGATCTCACTCTTTGTTCTCCTCAAGTTAGAACATCAACTTAGAACATTGCTCTGTTCATTGGCTTTGAGCATCTTTCACCACTTCCAATTAGACTCCTAGGAATGTGCAAATTCTGAGTTTTGAACTGTTTACATTACAAGAAAGATAAAAACATAATTGTTTCCAAAGTTTGGTAAAATACTTCTGTACGTCTTCTTGAAGCAAGAGGAGACAACTTGTACTATAATATACTGTTTACAGATAATACAGTTACTGTATAGATGAGCAACAAAGTTATGCTTGGCCTACTGTGATGTCTCTTCTGATGGATAGTTGAGACAGGCTCCAAATTTACTACCTCTTACATGCTAACAAACGGGTTGCGTGACTTCAAATTTCTCTTTTTAGCAGTAAGTTTTATTCATTACTCCTTTCTGCCACGATTACCCTTTTCTGCAAGGATTCCCAAACTTGTCTGTTCAGTTATCATCACTGGTAGTAGATACTGGTGCTGCTAATGGTAGCAGCATCTTTGGAGCTCTATGATTTTAACTATGCTGCAGATAGCTGAACTGTCATCTTCTCCTTCCCTGCTCCCTCTACAAGTTAATCTCACGTGCTGCAGCTACTGAATGAGCCTGATACTGTACAATCTTCTGTGCCCAAGGGCAGAAAAACCTGACCCCACTTGAAAAAGACTTGATACATCCTAGCACAGACACTACCACCCTATCTCCTGCATCCTTATTGGAAAGCTAAGTCTTGGCACTTACTACATTCCCATGGTGCTTCATGCAAATCAGCCAGTATAGGGGAGCTCTTCTGTGCAACTTCACTAGCACACAGGGCACTTAAAATGCCATCTCCCAAAGATTGCTTCAAGTCACACGCGAGACTGAGAAGTTACTGATTCTACTCTGTCTAGAAATGCACCAGCCATCTGGGTGGTTTTCATTGTTCCAATGGATAAGGATAATATCAACTGCTGGATTTTGAAGGAGTGTTTTATGATCACACTGAGATTCAAAGTTGGACAAATGCACTGCTTCACCCAGTGGCAAACTAGACAGAAATCAAGGCATAAAGCATTCACAGGCACTGCCCGTGCTGAATAAAAATGTTGAAATTCAAACTGCCAGAGAGAAACCTTATGACCATGACAACACAGAACAGAATACTGGAAAACCAGCATTTTTTGTTAGTTACTTCCAGTTCCTCTTCTGAATTGAAGGCACTCATCAGTGAAAATTTTAAGGCTTGAAGCCTCTCAGGCTTTGTTATCTGATGATCCCCAGCTGCATATGTGCCCAACAACTGGAACCAGAGTGGCTGTTCAAGGGATCCTTCACTAACAGTGTTGGCCAGGTATTACAGCATCACTGAACAGCTGCTGATAGAACTGCTCGGTAGAGCTGCTGCTTCTGCTCCTTGGCTTCCTCCCTGACATCTTTCTCACACTTGCAGTCTTATAAAATTTATTTCACATAATTAAAAGCCTGAGTGCTTATTGGGTTGCGGTTTAAATGAGAAAAGTGTATTATTTAATGCAGCTTTTTTACCTTGCAAGTAGAAATTAAAATAAAAAAAAAAAAAGGCGAAAATCCAGAAAGCTCAAACCTTTCTCTTCATGAGCTTGTTTTTAGATTAACATACACTAGCTGATTTTAGGCCTTGGCCTGTTTTTCCACTGACACGAGAAAACACCGTAAATTGTTACATCTCTTTTCTCAGGGTTGCCTGAAGCACTGTACTAAGAAGCGCACAAATTCCTTCTAAATGTAAGTGCAGGCTGCTGATCTAACGCTGCTGTGACTCTCAGCCTTACAGCTGCCCCCTAAACCAATGCGTGCCAAAGCGGCAGTGAGCACAATCAGTTTACACTCGGGCTGCGGAACACGCTGCCTCTCGCTTTTGACCCCGCTCTGAGAAACCCGCAGAACTGACAGGAAGGGCCGTGAGTTCAGCGTCCCAGAGCTCACGCTGCTTGGGGGCAGGAGGGAGGACGTGACGCGTTCGGGGGCCCCACGAACAGCGCGGCAGCAAGGCGGGAGCTGCCGACCGGCGCTTACCAAAAGCCCGTGCTCCTCCAAAAGTGCCGCAGGGGCCGCTCGGCTCGCCGGACATCCACGTGCACTACGTACGCCGCGGAGCCCGCGCCCAGCTGCACCATGAGCCACAGCAGCACCCGCATGGCGGCGCGGGAGCTCCGTACCGCCAACCGGCGCCGGCCACAAACGCAGCCCGGACGCGACGACGGGAGCCCGCCCACCGCGGGAGTGCCGCGGCTCCCCGCCCCGGCGGCGCTGTGAGGCGGTGGGTGCTGGGCGGCCGCCTGCGGGCTTCCGAAACGGAGTGTTCCGTTTCGGCGTGGCCAAAAAGCCGAGTTTGCTTTCTTAAGACAAGATGCCGAAGAAAAGTTACGTCCGTTTATCCAGGAAGCCTCGTCCTTTCAGGCACGCTGTAAAAAGTGCTGAAACACCGCCGTGCCATGGCTGAAGCGTGCAGCTGAAGACGCTGTGAGGAAACTTGCCCTGCAGGGTTAGCGCTCTAGAGGGCTCTGTTGGTGTTTTAAAGAAGCATCTGTCAGAGCTCGGGGAAAGTCTTCTCCAGTCTAGTTTCGGACAGTTTTCCCCAAGGTGTGCTCCTTGCTGCCTCAGCCACAGTAGACGAAAAGCTGGGGGACAGAAGGGAGGACAAAAACCCTTCCCAGAAGAGAGACGGAGAGGGAACTTGATTAGGGTGTTCTGCATCAACCCTAATCTGAGAAAACAACAAGATTTTTCAACATACATTTTCTGAAGAGAAAGTCTTTCCTGCTCAACACAGCCGCCCTTGTGCCACCTGCCATGTCAAGGAACCAAAGCAAAAAGAGTTCCCTATTCCCAAAATATCTGCAGGGATGCTCCAGAAGAGGCCAAATGAATTGCTGTTAGTAAGCCAAGGTAGCCAACTGGATCAACATATGCATGGATGCATTTGCAGGCCAAATGCCAGGTTACATCGGTAATACCCAGTGGCCTACTTTACAGAACTCCCCGGCATCTTCTCCCAGGAGCAGAGCAAACACCAGGGTTACAAGAGGCAACTTCCAGCAAACGTTTTCCAAAGCATAAAAGTTTCATTCAGAACTGAGCAGATATGCCCCTTGCTATAGGTGTGATTCTAGAGACCGTCAGGCAGAGCCCTGATACAGACCTTAGCCAAAGGGAATCTCCCCCACTGCGTTTGAATTTTTGCTCATCCAGGAGCTAGGAGAGTGGGAAGGCCGCAGCAGAAGATTTTGTTGAAAATGTTTTCCTGGGAGATTTCCCATTGCTTATGCTCTAAGACAAAGGACACTGGGGATGTCTTGGAACAGCCTTTTTCTTTCTCCTTGCACAGACCAGGAGCTCTTCTTGTCCAGAGGTGTTCCTGAGGAGGCACACAAGTATAAGAAATGGTGGGAGAGTGGAAGGAAAGTAGCAGGGAATCAACTCTTTCCAACAAGTATAGGCTGACCATTCCCCACCTAAGTGACAGCTGCGCCCAGCATAAATTCATCCAGTGCCTCAAACTGGGCAGATGAGAAATGTGACAGCATGATACTCCAGAGCTGAGTAATTTATGAGTCATGTAAACTGTTTGGTCATAGTTGTTCTCCTTGCAGCATCTCTGCAGATGTTTTGGGAGAACAGACACATCAGTCACCTTTACAGGGATCAGTTAACTCCGACCACTGCATTTGCTTTGTCTGTCAGGAGGCATCTGGGCACCATGGAGAAAAGCAATGCACTGTGAATTTGCTTAAGGGGTTTTTCAGTTTAAATGCCTCTTGCTCATAATTGCATACACGTTATGTAATAAAGATTTTGTTGATCAGTAATATATATATATCCCAACTGGAATCTTACCAGCATCAACAGCATGGATCTTAGTGCTCCTTTTCTCACAGATGGCTGGTTTTTGAGTCTCAGCTTATTTCACTACTGCAACTTTCCCCCAAGATCTGGTGAGCTTTGTCAGCCCTGAGATATCCTTTCTCCTTCTCATTCATTCATCAGCAGACCATGGAGTGAGTACTTGAACTGCAGCTGTCCATTACGTTTCTATTCAGTGGAGCAGTCTCATGTTTTTTTCCAAAACTTGCTGTTTCTCCCTTCTACAGCAGGCTTCTGCCAACAAACTGTGCAGATTGCAGAAAAACATACTGTCTGCTCCATGGTGCTGATCCCCGTGGCTGGTTCTTGCTTTTCTCCAGAACACCAGTGATCAGTCCCAGCTAGAAACGGAATGCAATTGTTGGCATTCTGCTGAGAGGCACTGAAAAGTTTGGAGATGTCTGAAAGATGTCTTCCTAGAGTTATATGGTCAGCTCTTTGAGATTAGCAAGTTGAGTAGGAGAGGACATGGTGTTTTAGCCCCCTCTGTAAGCTGGGATATAATATTTCATCTCCAAGGTTTCAGATTCTTTAGCATCTACTTCTTTCATGGTGTCAGAATATCTCTTTGTTTATTTTTTCACCAACTTTCACTTTTGTCTAAAGGTACACTTCTGACAAGTTTTGGCTTTCACCCAAGTGGTTGTAGCCCAGGGTTGCTCAATAATTGCTTTCTCTTTTGTCCAAACACATGAACTTTATCATAGAGATGTTGCTGCCTCCTAATCCACCTTGGTTCAACATGACCCAGGGAGTTGCTTTGCTGCGGTTTAGCGCACTGCACATCTATTTTTATTTTCAGGTGTAACCAGGTACATGTGATTCTGAATAAGGCTTTATAATCCTATATAAGGTTTTACATTAACCTGGCAGTACACAGTTTCAGGGCTTGTACTGGCCCAAACTTGTTTTAGCTTTGGTAACAACTGTTTGGTGATCAGGTCACTATTGCCTGAAGTTTTTCAGTTTAGCTCTCTGAATACCATTCAGTGGAAAATGTATCAGGGCGCGACAAGGGCCAGCTGCTGCCTTCAGCAGGGAATGCTGTCCACCACCTCTGAATCGAGGAGTAAGGCAAACTCTGAATTAGCAGAGATAGGATTGACCCACAGGCCCAGCTATCAAGCAAATTCATGGTGACAGCAGTTTTGAGGTCAAGATGGGAAATCAGTCTACAAATCAGGGCCAACAAGGTCTATGGCTAGATGTTGGCATAGCTGTGATTGAGACCAGCACTTCTACAGACTAGCTGGGATGGGGATTGAAGAACTCAAGCTCCTGGCCCTGAAATTGTTCTCCTGGACCATGATTTTGCAGTTTAACATGGAAGGCAGCTGGAAGCATACAGCTGCTCCCTCAATCCACTCCAGTGGGATGGGGAAGGGAGAACTGGAAAGGTAAAAATGCAGTAACTTGTGGGTTGGGATAAGGGCAGATTAATAGGTTGAGTAAAACTGTGCATACAGTCAAAGAGAAAAACGGAATCCATTCCCTTCTTTCCATCACCAGGCAGATGTTCAGCCATTTCAAGTGAAGCAGAGCTCCATCACATGTAATGCTTAACTGGGAAGACAAGCACCATAATTCTGAATGTCTCTCCCTCCAGTTTGCCCATGTATGGCACTGACCTTGAGAAACAGCCTGCTTTTCTTGACAGGTAGATTGCTCTTTGGCATCTTTGGCTGGTAGAATATCTAATTAATTCAGTTATTGGGGAGTTATGTAGATGAATACTCCTCCTTTTCCTTTAGCCTGTGTTTCCCAGGGTCCCTGGAGGTCTTTTCTATTCATGAACAATGGGGCTAATCTTCCTACTGCACAAGGACCTCCAGAAGTATTTTCTAGAACATAAGTATATGCCAATTTTCCACACACTTAAAACCGTCTTAAGCAGAACTTGAGGTAGGCTTCAGCATAACTTACCTCTGGGACTGTTTAATGGGGCTGTAATTTTGTTAAAATCCTACAGGCTGAGGTACAATTCATGAATTTAACACAATGCTTGGCATGGAAGAATGCCTTGGACTTTTACATTCAGCATCCTCTTCATTTCACTTGTAGTTGCACAGCCCATATCACAGATGTTCCTATAGGTTGCATTTGTCCCTAAGCTCTTTAATATTGTGTAATTTTGTTCAATTTTTACAGAGGTGGGGAACCTTTACTAAACAGGAACTATACGTTTCTACCTCTAATTTTTCTGAATCAAGATAAAAGCAAGGATTAATCACTTCCTTGGATAACATTTCCCACAAACGCTGGCTCCTGTAGCAATAAAACCTGTGAATCATTTATCATAGTAGACCAATTTATCACCACCAGAGTCCCTAGAATCCAGAACCTTATGATTCCTGACTTAACTTTAAGCACAAAGGTCCCTCTTGTTTAATGGTCCATCCTAGTGATGAAACTGGCTTGATCCCTCTATGATATGTCCACAGAGTGACTCTTTCAATCCTGCCTATCATGTAGGTGATGAATACAATCAGGAGAGGTGCAGTCCCTGGGTTTGCACAGAACATCTAAGGGCAGCATCGTGCTGACTGTGATGTATGTGCAGGGAGAAAGCAAAAATGTCCCTAAAGAAATGACATATTCCATTAAATAGCATTTCCCTACAATTTCAGGATCAACTCTGGTTTCTGTTATCTAATAAGGTTACATATATTATTTAAAAAGGGCTGACATTTTCTTTAGTTCCTGGCTGGATGTGTATTCATAGCAAGGCTAAGGGTAAAGCACCCAGCCATCTTATCTGAACTTCTGGACAAACTTTACTCATTTGTCTTTTTAAGCTTTGATTCATGCTGCCTACTTTTTCAGTTGTTTGTAGTTTCCATGGAGTGTGGAGATCACAATTTATCCCAATTTCTTTAGCTAGATTTTGAACTGCTTCTGCTATAAAGTGTGAACTCCTATCTGAAGATGATCCTGTAGGTACCCTTGGTATTATTACCTTAAGCGATACTTCTGCAACTTCTGTGGGCTTCTTGTGCTTCAAGGGAAAGATTCTGCCCAGCCTGACAAAGTTTCTGTCATTACTAAAAGATATAAATACCCATTTTACTGTAGCAACGCAGCAAAGTCTATTTCACAATAACGGAATGTTTTTGTTACCCCCTGTGAAGGTCTTCAGAGTGCATGAGGATTATTCTTTAAACACAGTTCACATTTCTTTACTACACTTCTGGCTATCTCAGTCATTCATGCAGTTAACACTTGTATATTCAGCACTTCTGTCATTGCTTTGCTTACCCAGTGTGTTTCCTGATGTTTTTTATCGGCCAATTCATGCATAATTACTGTGACTATTTACTTGGTGTGAAGGGGTCATCCACCATCTTTCTTGATATTTTTTTTTTTTTGCTTTCAGAAGATTAGCTAACTGCTCCTCTTCTGATGTATATGGTAAGCTTTTATGCCTCAATGTTTGGATTTTCTCCAGAAGGACCAACAATATTTGACTCCTCAAAGCTTCCTTCACAGCCTTATCCACAATCTGTTCTCCTGTATTTAGTGGATTGTTTCCAGTCTGATGTGCATTAGTGCATGACTGCCACTGCTTCAAGCAGATTGATAGCTTGTAAGTTGTTGACCCACACTTGACTGGAGATCCTTGAGATGTTATAAGTCCCCTTGGTCTACAAATGTCCCCATGAGCATGGAATACCTCAGAGTCAAACTCTAAATCTGTCCAGATATAAACACTTTTGTCCTTTGACAATTCTAACACTCTTAGTAAGGCTATGAGTTTTGCTTTCTGCACCAAAGTGTTAGATAACAGAGCTTTGGCCTCAATCACTTCCTTAACTGCTACCATTACATTTCCCACTTTCCACTTTCCATCTCGCACAAAGCTGCTACCATCTACAAACAGGTCCCATTCTGAGTTTTCCATTGGCATGTCTTTCAAATCTGCTCTGCTGGAGTATGTCTGGTGGAAAATGGCGTCAATGCTAAATATTTGTATGTGGAAAGCATTGATGTCTGTGAGAATGCAATGTTCTTTCTTTTCCATGGTATGTACTTATTTCTCAGGTACATACCAGGTGTGTTCTGGTGCTGGATTTGATGCTAGCATGTGCTGCATTTGTGCTTAACTGAGGAGGCAAATAAATCTGATAGATTTTATTGCTGGTTGTAAAGTTGTGGGTTTACTCCACTGCATCTGAGGAAGACTCACTCTGTATCCAAGTTTCAAAGTCTATCTGGGAGCTAATAAATACAGAGCAGACTTTATAAAGAAAACATACAAAAATAGCCTTAGCAGAGCTTAGATAACCATCCTATAGCCATTGCTATCTTCCCCTTTGTAAAGAAATCAAGGTGCCTGGGACTCAGTGTGATACCCACTTTCTGCTTAGAGAGAACTTATCTCTCCCCTGAGTATCAGGATTCATAAAGACAACTGTAGGCTAAGCTTAAGGTTGAAGAACAGGAGCAGATTATAGGACTTAAATGCACTACCAGTCTTTGTTTCCAAAATGTTGTTGCTACTGTAACTGAACTGTCAATAGCTATCTGCTGTCATTTTAAGGAGAATGTGGAAATGTGAAGACATTAATTGACTGACAATAAAGGATTAGTTCTGCATGTAATCTATGTTCTCTTTTGCCCATAACAAGATTTTATTTATATTGTAAAGGGACACCAGACACCAGAAAGGATGTCTTTGATTTTACATAACAGACATCTTCCATACATCTATTATGTCTGTGGTCCTGTATAGAAAATACCATTTCTGCTAGAACACATCTGTGCTTAGGAGCTATAGAGGATAGGGAGATGATTTCCACAGTTCTCTTTGCTAAGTGCATATGAAAGAAACACTGGAAGAGTATTTAGCACTCTTCTTTGTCTCTGGTGCGGAGGTAAAAGATTTGTCTTTTGTTGCAAACTGTATTTACAGGGCTTTCTTGGAGCACATCATTCAGTGTCAGCTCCTGTTGCTTCTGTCCAGGAAGCCATCATACCTGGAGGTTTTCAAGAACCATGTAGATGTGGCACTGAGGGACATGGTTAGTGGGCATGGTGGTGACAGGTTGAAAACTGGACAAGCTGATCTTAGAGGTCTTTTCCAACTTTAATGATTCTATCATTCTTGCTGTCCTTGACAGGGAGCAGCTACAAGGCTTTTCCTCGTATGTGTCTTAGTCTAGCACATTTCAGATAGCTAGTGAGTTTGTATAGATGGTTCCCTCCCAGGTCAGACTGGACTATTTCCCAGACCACCTTCTGAGAAACACTGTATTTTTCAAATACAGTGGATGTCACAAAGATGCAGCACTCTGGCTTGTTATTTTTACTTCATTTTCTTCTCTGCTCTGCTCAGCAAACTTACTCTTCTCATGTGCAAATAACATTTAAGCTAGGAAAGGAAAAACACAACTTTTTCTCTCTGATCCCCACCTTTCCAATGAATGGGCTAAAAAAATTGGATAGTCAAAGCAAATAGAGGAACATGAGCCTTCCGAAGAGCACTGCTACCAGGAGCTAGGTTCTGAACATGGGGAGGAAAATATTCCCTCCAGGGTGGAAAAGAACACAGTGCCTATGCAAGGACTAGTAAGAGCCTTGTTTGCTTAGCCTGCCTAGGAGACCTTGTGCAAGGGAACAGAGTGATTTTGTTCCCAGAGCAGCAACGGAAGAAACTTTTGATCAAAAAGCTTTGGATCTACATGTAGAAGAGAACCACAAGTCCACATCTCTATGAAATCTTATATGCACTGGGTCTGTATGGAAGAGGACTGTGAATCTGTAACATACTCAGAAAGCACCTTTTTTTTTTCCTTTTTTTTTTTTTTCCCCTGCATGAGAGGAAATAGCTAAAGATCAAAACAAAAACTTTCAAATCCTGTTACCATCCAAGAGAGTACTGTGTGCTAGCATGTGAAGAACTTTTATCAGTGCATCTTTCACAGCAACACATTGCACTTTCTGGAAATATGTAAAAGTTGAATTCAGTCACAAAGCTGGACAATAGTATTTTCTTGGTAACAGTTTCTAGTTGCTCCTAGTTGCTACAGGATTTGTGTCAGCTTCTATTTTGCAGCTGGGAATATTTGTTATTCATTTATCTGTTCTTGATGGGTCACAATGTCAGTTGAGCAGAATCCAACAAATTCTTTTGTGAATTAAAATGAACGTTGTCAACATCTGGGCTGACAGCATTAATGTTTATTATGGTTTATAGTTTAAGCATGAAGTTCAAGTTAGATGCCAGTCAAAATACTACAGATTTGTAAACCAGCCACAAAAACGGAAAGACAAAAGGCATTTTCACATTTCCATTTCTTTGTTCCACAGAACATGTAATGTAACTGACATTTTGTGTGTTCTGCAGAGATGCAGAGGCAACAGGAATAACAAATCACAAAATTCTCCAGAGAAATCAAAATGACTGCTGTTTGAGTCCTTTGAAAAACTTTCATTGGCTCATTTTGTCTAAACAAGTCAACACAACTATACTCAATTAAACAACACTTCCATTACAGAATGATTTGCCACTTCGACACTACGCATAGCCTTAATTTCCATATCAGACATCCTATGACCATAACATGAGCTCATGAGGCAGCCCATCAGAAGCTGTTCCAGTTGGGAACCATTTCAATAATTGAGAATATAAGTACTCACTTAGCACCACGATTCTGAAGCCAGTTAAAGGGAACTGAGGACATTGTGCCACTATCTCTTTCAAAACAAGGAATAAAGAAGTTTTCTTCTATTCTACGACCTTCTCTCATCTGTAGGTCTATATTGCTTGTAATCAGTCGAGACACTGAAGTTCAAAAGTAGGTGCTTTGGCTTGTGTTCTACTGTTCTCACAGCAAACTTACAGTTTATCACTAATCCTTTTTATATCTATCTTGTATAAGCCCTGATTAATATTTAATTCCTTACCAAAGTCTTCCATTAGGAATCCACTTTATTTCTGGGAGGCATAGGGCCATCACAAGTAACATGTATCATTTTTTTGACAGTTTTATGGTTCAACTGGAACAATTTGCAGAGCTGTCCATCAGTATCTTCCCTGCAGCTTCACAGCTCTTCTATTTTAATCGTGGACTGCAGAACAAAGCAGAGTAACAGGCCCTTAAGTCATACTTAGAAACTAAAGGAATAGAGCTTAGAAGATCCACTGCAAACATTTTACCTAATGATTTATTAATTTGTTTTACTTTATTTTGCAAGGCTTAAAACTAATGCGTTAAAGGAATAGCTACACTTTAGAGACATTTCAGCATTGCAGGACTTGAAGTATTTCAATGTCTGAGTTCATCAGATCTTCTCTGCGAGTAGCAGCACTGACCATCACTTCTATTCTGAAAATGAATAGGGGATGACAAAGACCAGTGCTGTCCTAGTTGGGCTGGACAGTGCTCTATGGAAAGTGGTTAGAAGCATTCTTGCATCCTCTGAGTTTCTGGGCAGCATCTGGTGGTAAGGAGCAGGAGAGGACAGAAGACATCATAAATTTCAGCCACTGGGTAGTTCTGCAGGCATGCTGCTTTCAAAACAGAAAATTATCTGTGCTCTCTCTCCTCCAGGGCTGTTACACAGAACAATCTCTAGCTGTTTGTGAAACTGCTGTGCCCCTTCTTTGTCTTCTTCAGAGGTCTGTCAGCTGCTTGCGTACAGTCCTTAGGTATATAATGGCCCAGGTTTATAACAACCACTTATAAATCAGATGATAAATTAATGGTAACAATTTGAATCATAGAATGGCCTGGGTTGAAAAGCACCATAATGATCATTGAGTTTCAATTCCCCTGCTATGTGCAGGGTTGGCAACCACTAAATCAGGCTGCCCAGAACAATGTTCAGCCTGGCCTTGAATGCCTCCAGGGCATTTGCAGCATCCTCTCCACTTCACTGCCTTTCCAAATGATTGTTTGGGATACTCATACCTGGGCCAGTACTTTATACAACTTCCCAGGGTAGCCTACCCTTCTTCTAAAGATTAATGACCAGTTTCAGGGCATGAGCCCCCTACCAGCTGTCCTTGATTCCATAGAAAATTCAGTATTGGCAGGAGGAGCCTGCTAAAGCACAGAATGCATGCATGTAGAAAGAACTTGTGTTTTGCACCTAAGACTTGTATTCATCCTTAGCCTGATTCTGAATGAGAGAAACAAGTTCTGAAAACTATGTGTTCATAGTGGTATCCAGGCTAAAACAAAATGAACTTGTGCACTATGCTATTCTGTTGCTTGAAATGTTGTTGCTACCCTTGCCCTTAGGGTTGTTAGTCCAGTGATAAAGGTGTAGACTACACTTGTTATTAGGTAATTCGTGGGAAAATTTCTCAGGGCATGGTTTTCCCATTTGTGCAGTGTTGGAATGGATGTGCTGAAGTTAACCAAGTACTTATTTTCAAGGAACTGTATCTCTCTCTTTCTCTCTCTCTCTCTCTCTCAAAAAAAAAAAAAAAAAAAAAAGATTTAAAAAAAATCATGAAATTCCTGCAGCAGTGTTCCAGTACCTTCACAGCAGAGAAGTGCTTCCTGATGTTCAAAGGGAACATCCTGTCTTCCAGTTTGAGCCCATTTCCTCCTGTCCCAGAGTTGGGCACCACTGAAAAGAGCCTGGCTCTGTCTTCTTTGCATAGTCCCATACTCCCTTCAGCTATTATAGACCTGATGAGATCATAGAATCACAGAATCACAGAATGGCTTGGGTTAGAAGGGACCAAATGATAATCAAACTCCAACTCCCCTGCCACAGGTAGGGCTACGAACCCCCATATCTAATGCTAGACCAGGCTGCCCAGGGTCCCATCCAACCTGGCCTTGAATACTTCCAGGGATGGGGCATCCACAGCCTCTCTGGGCAGCCTGTTCCAGCACCTCATCACTCTCATAGTAAAGAACTTCCTTCTGACATCCAGAATAAATCTTCTCTCCTTGAGCTTAAAACTGTTTCTTCTTCTCCTGTCGTCTACCCACGTAAAAAGTTGATTCCCCTCTTTTTATAATCCCCTTTTAAATACTGGAAGGCTGCAATGAAGTCTCCTCTCAGCCTTCTCTTCTCCAGGCTGAACAAGCCCAGCTCCCTCATCCTGTCTTTGTAGGGGAGATGCTCCAGCCATCTAACCATCTTCGTGGCCCTTCTCTGGACCCTCTCCAACAGCTCTGCATTTTTCCTCTACTGGGGCACCCAGACCTAGATGCAGTACTTCAAATGGGGCCTCATGAGGGCAGAGTAGAGAGGGACAATTATCTCCCTGTACCTGCTGTCACCCCTCTTCTGATAAAGCCTGGGATACCATTGGCCTTCCAAGCTGCAAGAGCACACTGCTGACTCATGTTAAGTTTTTCATCCACCAGGACCCCTTGTTCTTCTCAGCAAGGCTGTTCTCAATAAGTATCTCCCTGTTTGTATTTGTATCTGGGATTACTCTGATGTGAATGCAAAACCTTGCACTTTGTTATGTTGAACCTCATTAGGCTCACACAGGCCCATGTTTCGAGTTTGTTGAGATCCCCTGAGCCTCCTTCAGGCTTGACAGTCTCACCTCTCTCAGTCTTTCCCCATAGAAGAAGTACTCCAGTCCCTTTGTCTTTCTAATGACCCTTAGATGGACTCTATCCATGTCTCATGTATGTATGTACATGTCTCTCTTGCACTGGGGAGCCCAGACTTGAATACAGCAATCCAGATGTGGCCTCATTAGTGAGGACATGGGAACAATCACCTCCATCAATCCGCTAGTGATACTTTCCCTGATGGAGCCCTGGATGCCATTAGACTTCTTTGTGGCAAGGGCACATTGCTAGCTCTTGCTCAACCTGATGTCCACAGGGATCTCCAGTTTCTTTTCCACAAAGCTGCTGTACCCTCCCAAAATTATTATTATTTTTTTTTTAAGGGAAATTACTTCAAAAAATTCTGCTTACCATACAGGTGGTTTTGACCTTCTCTGAATTGCAAGTCTTCTAGCTAGCTTAGTTTAGGATGTCCTGTGGCTTGCCCAGTTGCATTTTAGTTGCAACAAATGCTAGCTGTCATTGCTGCTGGCTCCTCACTGGTCTACGCAGAGAATTTCACTGTTTTCCCCTGTCAAGCTGCATCTCAGTGGCATTGTATGTTAGACAGGCACTGATGCTCATCTTGCTGCTGACTCTTGCCCTGGCACCAACTTGTTGCATTTGTGACTCTGGAAATTTCCTGCTGAATTTTCACCCCTGAAGCCAAGGGAGCATCCTGGCAATTTATGTTTACCTTTTTCACCACTTTTGTTTCAAAACAGCTGTATCTATATCTAGATGATGGTTAAACTCTGCTTGCCCCATCCTGTACATTCTAGCTCAACAGGTGTTTTGCAGCCTTCAGAGTGATTCTTCATTTACATTCTTCCCTGTGCAGTTAATGTAGGCTGATTATTCATATAGATGAGCCATGAGCTCAAGTGTGATATATGAACAATATTATAATGCCTCAGTGTGGAACAGAAAGCTAACATATGACCTGCTGCACATACTCTAGAGGCCTGCAGAGAAATTGTCATGTTTTTGCTCACTTCTGTCACCTACTGTTTTATCCCTGAAAATAATACAATTCTTCCCATCATCTTTGTAATTCTGCCTTAATTGTAACCAGTTTGAACATTTTCCTTGTTACTGTCTATATGGCAGATTTTAGGGGAATACATGCATACAGCAAACAAAGTCTAACTGGACGTAATCAAAGCATTATTCTCCTATTTTCCATTCCCAAATGGAAAAAGAAAGGAAAATGTGCGGAAGCTGTCTGATGTTACTGAAGCCATCCAGAATGTGGACTTCAAAGAGCGAGCTTAGAGAACTCCATCTTCCTTCACTAATGACAGAAAAATCTTTGAACTAGTCACCTAGTTCATAGTTAGCTAGAGTTGGATGGAGTTAATCCTCCACTAACTAGTTTATCTGCTTTTGCCTAAAACAAGTGTAGTAATCTCTCAGCTCTGCTTACAAAACCTAAGGCAACACTGCAAAGGCTGTGACATGCCAAACATTCCTCACTGTCAAATCTCACATGTATGCACAGAACTCAAAGCCTGTCCCCTTAACATATCATCTTTCTTAATTAATAATGGCAGATGTTTTGCTTTTTTTTTTTCATTTCCTCTCTCAATCACAGTGCTCACTATAACATTGCTGTTATTCTCATTTTTTCCTTTCCAAATGCTCCTTTAAAAAACAACAGAGAAGAAGATTTTTGACCATAATGACATCAGGTTTTCTCCTTACACTTCTTGGCCAGAGGCACAAGAGGTATTGATGGCTCTGCTTGTCCTCGAAATGTCTGAACTCATAGCATTCACAAAACCATGCAATAAAAGAAGTATACACATCTCTGTGCCTGTCAGACTGGCATTTAACAAAAATAAAACACTGCAACATAAAGAAGAAAGTGAACTTTGCTGATGATCTTCATGCTTCTCTTACAAATACAAAGATGTCCACAGGGGAGATGGACAAGTCCACCAACCTAATAAAAACAAGATCTCGCCTGAAAGCACTGATTTGTGCCTTTTGTGGCAGAGTTATTGGTTCCTTAAAGGGATTGCTTTTCATATAACAGAAGGTAGATTTTGTTTTTCTTGCTTTGCTAGAAGATTCTGTTGTTGATTTGTCATCCACTTAAAGGGGAATGGGCAGCTGGTCTCCTTTGGCACCGTGGAAGTGCTTCCGCTCCACATACAAACATAAGCTGTTGCTAGGAGGTTAAAAAATGATATAACTCAGACCTCTCAAGGTAACAACATGTTTCAGGAGCACTGGAGCTTTGGTCAGTTATATTGCAATGTCTTTGTTCTTTGCCCCTCTGCACATTTATATCCCACCAGTTCCACAGCTGTCTTTCTCAGTGCACTCTGAGAGCCAGCAATTAAGTAATTACTAAAATGGATTGAAAATAATTTCAGCTGAAGTCTGAATTTTGGGTTACATGGTTCTGTTTGCAGAGAGATGGTACTATTTTCTGAGAGTAAATAAAGTCCTCTCTCTGCTTTTCATATAAATCAACCCAAAATTGAAACATTTTATGAAGTAGATGTGTCGTGGTGAGATTTCATGGGAGATGTCACTATGCAGCTTGCTCTCCTGAGGCTGCTGTATGTCACTGCAGTCACAGAACACTCCTCCGCATCATCAGCCCTGTCAGAGTTTAGGTTTGGGTGAATATTTATTTTCATCAATTTGAGTTTTTCTTTTGTATATTGGTTTTGGTTCTGTAATTAATGTTGTGTGAAATTAATGTATCTTGTGAAAATGCTCATGCTTTTCTGACAGACCAGAGAAATGGCTCAGAAAAATGGCTCTGAGCCATTCAAAACAACACCGCTGAGAGATATTGGCACAATCTGAGTACGAGCTCTGTAACAATAACTCAGGGAGGAGTCAGTTTTAGAAGAGAGAGAATAATTTTCTTTTTCAAACAGGAGAGAAATTACCAGACATTGCAGTGGTTTCCTCTCTGGAGAGAAATATTCCCTGAGAAGAATTCTGACAAAACGTTCAACTGGTGAGAAGTCCAAGCATCTTTAGAATGCATCCTTGTATGCCATTAGTCCCTGCTGCTCTAAACTTGCACACTTGAAAGATTTGCCTCAAGTCTAAAGAAGAATGTCTACCAATTTCTTGTGTCCACATAGAATTTCAACAGGACTACTGAGACCTGTCGGAATAAATTCTGACTTCTTCACATCATTCGTTTTAGTCTGCAATTTCTCAAGATTCTGTGTGCTTGTTTTTTGGCAGAAGGGCTCCTGGTGACCATTTTCCAGTGAAATCTGGTGCAAAACAGTGCCTCGTTTCAAGTGAAATTATGGTTGTGTATATGTCTTATCGTGAAGAAAATAATACCTTGTGGATTACTATTTGATAATTGTTGACATTCATTTTGACAATGAAATCTTCAACTACTCCAGTAATTATAGGACTGCATCTTCACCACCCACTGGCTTTAAGAATCATCAGAAACTTTTGGTGACCTGTTGAGAATATCGGTTGAAAGGCAAATGTTAGATTCTCTCAGAAAAGAAGTATTTTTACTATTTTTATTATTCCAGAGTAAGAGTATGGTCTTTAGGAGCAGCAAGGGAATAAGCAAGGTTAAAAAAAATGCCATTAATATTTACCAACCGGAAGGGGTAAAAAATACCCACATGGAGATCATCTTGAACAAGAAACTTTCTTGAAAACACACAGGGCAATAAGAATATGGCACAGGGATTGGAATGTGCAGGATTACTCAACGTTCCCAGCTCTTGTCTTGTTTTACCAAAGATGAAAGAGTGAAGTTTATCATTTTTAAAAATTTTCCTTCAGCTTTTTTTTTTTTTAATCGTTTTGACTGTGCAAGCGATGAGTTAGACTTTCATTGCACAGTACATCATTAAGGTTCTCCTCCAACATCAGCAAGATGGACATTATTACTCAGGTATCAGATCTGACAAAAGCTTTTTCCTCTTCTTCTGACAGAAAATCAGTTACTGAGGAATGTCGAGACACCTGGTCTGTGTGGTGCATTTCTGAGGTTTCTATCTCAGGAGAAATCGGCTTAATAAGACATGAGGGGATTCAGTGCTTATTGCCATGTAGCCAAGCATTTATTCTTGCTGCTGTACATGATAGGCAGGAAGTTTTCAGGAGATACATCTCTTTACATCTCTTCTGCTTGTCCAAGTATGTGATCTTTTTCCTACTGCAAAGGAAGGGAAGCAGCTCAACGCACATGGTGCATGAGCAACCTGCTCCATGTAATGCTGTATTATTTAATGAATTTGTAAGGTCTAAAACTCTGCTTCTGCATTGTCATTTTGAACATCTTACTCTTCAGCTCATTCTTTCAAGAAAAGAAATATGGATAAGAAGGAAAACCAGCTTGACACATATAAAACTGAGTTATCTCACACTATCTGTTTTACAGGGACACCTACAAAACACATTTCTACATTTCCATGCAACATTCTCTGTGGCACTGAGCTCTTTAATAATGTAATTTCCCTTCACCCTTTCTAAGCTACAGAAATTCAGGCCTTCGGGTATTCTTTACTTCACTCATATTCCATTCTCTCTTCTGCTCAATCTGACCATTTATCTTTCATTTCTAAACACCTATTCTTTCTAGTCATCATACTCATTGCTGGTATATTTTCCCAACAGTATGTCTGCTTTACCCATTATCCGCAGTACTGAAACAGGACATTAGGAAGATCCTCTGTGTTCACTGAATCCAACAATCCATCATTTCAGGACAGGATGCCACAGCATCCCTTTCAGTGATTCCTTTTACACTTCTGCTTGTTTTTACTTATGTCTTAGAATTAAAATGTTGGCTATGTTAACACTCCTGGAGACATTACAAATATCAGTATAGGATTAAGTTGCTTTACATTATTGATGTTATCATAACAAAGTACATAAATAAATAATTGTCTACTGGTTTATCTGCTATATCCTTTCAGAGCTGCTTCAAAATATGTCTTGATTTCCTTTTTGGTATCAAAGAGCTGTAGCAAATGTTAAAGTATGTTTGCACAAAAGAAAGGTATTTATATTAGAGAAGTGTGGAATTACAAATTTTGCATATTGAAACACATTCCCAGGACTTTTTGCCTTAGTAAGAGTAGTAGAAAAGCCAGATAGAGATTACTGATTTGAGTTTTATTTTCTTTAGAACTGATCTTTAGAACTGAGGTTTTATCAGCCTATAAGAAGTATCTATCAAATTACAAGAAGAGTTGTTCAACTGAAGGTCACTGAAGCTGAAAAGAGTGATTCTATTTGACTCACATATACAGTGTAAGGTGCATCAAGGATGTTGCCATCAGAGATGTTTTTACTTTAAAAATATGTTCTAACTTTAAAAAGATGGATCTTTGTCTCACACTCTGGGTACTGCATCACCTCAATTGGCATCTTCCTTAATGTACTCTGTTATTCAGCATGTAACAACTGCCTCACTATCAGATTGTCATGGTTTTATTCCTTTAAAACAGAAGAACAAGGAAGAAGGGACTGTACCATAGGGTATACTACTGGACTGAAGAAATTCTGTGCTCAGTTTTTGCTAAAGCTGTGGTTGATGCAGGCTTCACAGCCTCTTCCCACCTATCACTTAAAACCTCACTCCCCAGAATGCCTTCATGTAAATCATCTTAGAGCATGGGGCACTGCGTCTGCATGCAGTGGCCCCCTGAGTTCCATCCACTTTCATGCTCCATATCTCCTGCTCCTCCTGGCCTCCAGCCAGTGACTAATGGATCAGGGAGCAAACAAACACTGATGGCATCTAAGATCCCAGAATAGGACAGAGGCACAGCCCAGGGTTTGCACATGGCTTTGCTGCAGGTAGTGCAGGAAAACTATCTCTGCGCACTGCTCCATGTGAGACCTTTCAAAACATGCTGTACTCACATTTGAACAAAGGGTGACGACCTGAAAGTGCTTCTGTGGTGGTTAAGCATCTGCCAGAGATGCAGCAAAACTGTGTTCTTAATATTCTTCTGAAAACTGTTTTACAATGCAAGATCACCAGTAATTTGTACTGAATGCTGAGTGCAAGAGTCAAACAAAACATGGGATCCTAACTACATTCAGCATGGTACCAACAGAGATCAATAACAACCTCCTGCCTTGATGAAGCTATAATCCTCACTGATGAAGCAGGTCTGTGCAGTATAGTATATATATACTATATATATACTATATATAATATAGTATATACAATACTTAGTCCTTCAGCACCCTCAAAAGAGCTGTTCCTTCATTGCACAGAAGAATTAAGAGAGTAATAACGTTTTGCTGTTAGTAATGTCTCAGCTGTAGGAGGTTATACCAGATCTCTGAGGAATCTGAGAGGTTGGCAGGCTAGTGTCTCCAGCTGGATTCCAGGTGTATCACTTGGAGAAGATATGTCCAGTTTTACAGGGATAGAGGTGACAGTCATGTGCATGCACAGCATAATATATTAAGAGCTGTCTGAGTTCTTGTCTCCATTTGAACATGAGGGAGGTTACTTAGGCATCTGTGGAAACAAACACATGCTTGTGCTCAGGGCTACACATTTCAGTGGTGGGGCACAAGGGAAGGTAAAGTGGGCTTCGGAGAACAAAACCTTAATGAGAGGGAGTACACAGAGAGAGAGAACAATATCAGATATTAGAAATACAGAGGGAAAGAAGAGAGAACTAGAAAGACAGAGGTTGTGTCAGGCTTCATGCTTGTAGAGGAGAAAAAAAGAGAAGAACAAGTAACAGTTACAAAAAGGGGGAAGACAGGGGAGTAGGGAAGCAGAGTAGGCAAAAGCTAGTTATGATCCAGCAGCGTGTGCTTGCAGCCCAGAACACCAGTGGTATCTTGGGCTGCATCAGCAGAGGGATGGCAGCAGGGAGACAGAGGAGATTGTACCCCTCTGCTCTGCCATTTGGGGCCTCATCTGCAGAACTGCATCCAGGCCTGGGGCCCCCAGCACAAGAAAGATGTGGAGCTGTTGGAGAGGGTCCAGAGGAGGCTACAAAGATGCTCAGAGGGCTGGAGCACCTCCCCTATGAAGACAAGTTGAGGGAGCTGGGCTTGTTCAGCATGGAGAAGGCTCCAGGGAGAACTCTGTGGCCTTCTAGTACCTAAAGGGAGCTTATAAGAGGAGGGACACTGATTTCTTACCTAGACAAGAAGTGATAGGGCAAGGGAGAACGGCTTGAAACTAAT